TCCCTTGTTGTCGGTGCACCTTGTAACACGCATACATATATGGATTAGAATATGAGCATCCCAAGAAGCATAATTCGAAGAAAAATGAGTCCTTTGGAAAATTGAACAAACTTTATTTCGTAGATTTTCGACGCTGGTTCTCCAGGTCGTCGTCAGACGTGTAGCAAGTTTGAAAAACAGTCACAATTTAAACATGCCCGAAAAATCGATATTGCTTTGTCAGCGTTGAGGTTGAGTCGATGCTGTGGGCTGACGTCACGTTTTGATTGGTTATCACCTTTTCCTCTTCTTTGAGATTTGTGTACATGGCGTCCAGGTCGAAGATAATCGACTACTGTGTAATAACCACGTAGTGCCCATTCTCCAAACGAGTATTACTACAAGTGGTATGAGATGTATATGCTAAAGATACTATACCGTACGCCCGACATAGATACATAGGCTCAAATGGTCAGTGAAATTTCGGGTCTGATCCCGAGACTTAACTCCATGTCCTGCATTGAATAATTTCTGGAATTATTCACTTGATTATTTTTTTGGAGTTCATATACCAGAAACACTGGGGGACCCACTGAGGAGCCTAGTGAGGCAAGTCACCAGGACTTGGAAGTACCTGGTAGATCTTTGGGTGTATAATGGCGGCGGTCCACCTGCCCACGGTCTTTCCAAAACCACAGATTATCACTTTTTCGCTTTTGTAAACACCCACCACTAGGCCTAGGAATTTTAGACCATGCTACAAGTTATTCTCTTTTCATTGGCTTCTTACTTGCCGCTCTCATAGGTCGACACCAAAGATGAGACCAGTCAACAACAACAGGAGAATGAGAAGAGCTATGCATTCAGAGTGAGGCCCACTAACTGACCGCACCTTCCTCTCCAACATCCCAAGCACTTACGTTGCTGCCACAGCGACTACATTCCCTGCTCGTCAGAAACGACGTCCCCTCGCATACTTTACCTATGGATAATGGGATTGCTGCGTCCTTTTATGTTGTCGGTTGTTATTTTGGTTTTCAGTACGATCAGGCGAGTCCTGTGCTTTCAACAAAACCCCTGATTTTCGGAGTCACTCCCCCTCCGCTTTATTTTTTACCACTAACGTCTACGCCCATCATGTCTTTTCCGTCCCGCGCCCCCGTCCAGCGTACTTTTATAATCTGTCTTGTGGGTTATTTTTCTGAGCATTGTACTAGGATACACTTGTTCGATGTTCAACGCTGATTGCAGCCCTTTTGCGGTGCATGGGAGCGTGCGGTGTTTGGCGTCTCTCTGAAGACACTTTTTGGGTTAGCGGACCTTAGTTCTGAACCCATTCGGTGTAACTGGCCGGCAATCTCCGCCGCTACTGGTGATTGACCTCGCTACCCGTAGCACACGACGACCACTTAAAACTGCTACATTGTAGGAACGATGTGCCTGTGTGTCACCGGTCCTGCCTCAAAGGCTCAAGGAGATAACTGGGTTCTCCTCCAAGGACGGAGAGTCAAGTCGCAATGTCCCCTCAAAGGGCCCTTTGCGAAATTCCCACTCATTTGGCATCGGACCCGCCCCTTCCATCGCACGCGGACGGGCTGTTTAGCTTTGTCAGTCGCCGCGTCCGATCACGCCTCCGGTCCTTCGGATTCTGTCTTGACGCCGGGCCCAAGTAGATGATGGAGGAGAGAATGCGGTACGAGTCTAATATCACTCACAAGTCAGCGTACCTGCGCCCCCCCTTGATGTGGAACATTCGATGGACACCATCGTTCGCCATGGCCAAACCGTCGCTGGCCATTTGATGTTCGAATCTGTGATGTAACTCATCCTCACAGGGCGCAGACACTGGCCTCGAAACTAGGCGTGAAGCTTCCACACCATAGAGCCTGTTCAGCACCCGTTCCAACGGAGAATCTTGCCGTTTGATTTTTGCCTTGTTATGGAAGTCGAAAATATTGGTTTACTCCGAGGGCCATACGTGGCTCGACATACGCACTGCTGGGATTTGAGGCATGTCTACGTATGCACCAAGTTTCCTCTGTCAGCTTGCGTGCGATCATTCACAGAGCGCGAATAATTAGATATCCATCCCGGAACTGGGATCACTGCGTATCAAGCGGATAAGTCCTCGGGGGGTTGTTTTCAATTTGGTGACGTTCCCATGCCGGAGAGAAAAAAAGCTTTATTTGTGAAAAGAGATCCACCAGAACTGAAGCAGTGTATCGATTATCGAGAGACCACTGCGGCTCACTGTCTTTCCATTCCGGTGTGAACATCAGTTGAATAAGTGCACCGGGGCAGAGGGTGTGAGTATGCTATCGAGGAGGCCGTTTTTTTTCCAAATTAGCCCTACGTGACTCGCAGGTTAGATGGTGGATGCATCATTCAGTGTCGAGTGTTACTGACTGTTAGAGGGCATTCCTAAATTAGGAGGAGAAAGTTGACCTAACAGTCCTTATGCCTGCGGAGCGATTACAGCGGTAAGTGGCTGGCGCTGGACCAATGCTGGTTGAATTTTTTGCCAATTGAGTAATCAGCGAGCAGCAACAGGGTACGCAGGAGGTGCGCAATCAGCGGATGAGAGATTTTATGTCAACTGGGCTGAGTGGTTTAAGTTACATGAGGACGCCCTACCGTAGTACTGGTAATGTCTTCGATAAGGTCCATTTGTGTGCGGTTACCTGATTTCCGCGAAAAAAGTGTATGCGGCCACTGCCCATCTGTCTCGAGTCAGTTTATATTTCCGGGATTTCAGATGTTTCCCTTTTCAGAAGAGCATTTGACAAGCATACGCGTGCTTTCGATAAATTCTGGTAGGGCGTGTACGTTTATATGGGAACGAGGTACAAGATGGAACGTTTACCTTTTGCAATTTTTCAGATTGGGTTGAAATAGGTCACCTAATCCCTACCTCCATAGACTACCCCTATCAATTACAAAGTGGATATCAGTTCGCCTTTTGCTAAACTCTCAATTAGGTTAGGTACGAGGACAAACCATGCGAATTATATTTTCGTAGAGTGTCTACTTATGTTGTCCAAGTAGCTTTATATAAATTGGTGGATATCTGTAAGGCCCATTGCCGTGTCGATCCACGCTATTTTTGCCTACACCTTATATAGAGTTTCCAACGGGCCTCATAGTCCAGAGTCGATTTCGTACCAGTCACCGACAAGGGTGCTGAGAGACGTCCTGTGTTCTTTCTCTATGTTGCCGGCTGCTAGTTCAACTAATGATCTTGAGCTGTGGACAGAAGCCCTGTTGTCGAAAACGTCGACGAAAGCGTACTTCCCCTTGGGGAAACATTGTCGGCCATAGATTCCTTTCTAATCTGATGAATGGAGCCTAGGCCGCCGTTATGAGCCCATGTATTTCTAGTTCTGTCTTACACACTTGCCAGGTCGGGCACAGCACTAATCAATCGTTTTTCTGCTGGTTGACAACAAAATCGGACGTTGAGTGCCGGTGGACATCTTAGTTATGCGTTGATTTTCTGCTAGTCCCCACCAGGTCGCGGGACGACATCCCATGTCTTCTCTCTCATGCCGTCACCAGTGCTGTCAGCCAATCGCTCCTCTTTTATTTCCTAACGTTACTCTGGTCAGCAGCACCCCACGCCAAATGGTGTGCCCTTCGGTTTCTGTTTACGCCTTTTGTTACCGTTTCCGCTGATCTCCTTATCTTCAATTAGTCAGCCATTTAGCCGCGTGAGCGCGTTCGCACAGGCACCCAGATTGGTGGCCTCATGCTCTACTAACTCGCGGAAATAAAGACCTTCGTGCCGGGCTACGTATGCGTCCTGAGTATGTGTAGGCACGCCTAACGACTATCCCGTATAGCTATAAACTCACTAATACTTAGCACACTGAGCTGGTGCGTAGGCGTGCTGGCTTCGCACTCACGTCCAGCGGTGACCCAGTACGCTAATTAAATTTCCGAAAACATTGATGCCGTTTTCATGCGGTGAGTCTCGCCTAGTAATTCAAAACCCGCCAATGAGTTCTGCAGTCCACGTATGCAGGCAGTCCTACCCTTCGTTGGGTTTCGTTTTTCAGCTACCTAAATCAAATAAGTAGACACTCTTTAGTAGTGTAATTTCAGATAGGCCCCATTCCCATGCCATATGACATTTTCCAATCTACAAGAGCGCGTCAGGATTTGTCAGAAGTGTGACTTAAAAGTCTTCCTGGCGAGGAGACGGAAATAACCGTTTTTGGTTGAGAAGACGTTGAGCCCTAGCTCAAGTAAAAAATTTCTAACCCAAGTGTTCGACAACCGAGTGAGTCGCCCTTAAATATCAAACCTCTCTGAGTACGGATGGTTCATGGCCAATTGATTACAGCAAATAAGCTGAAACAGTACTTCCGGGCCCTTTGTCAGCAGCACTTGAAGCACCATTTGCCCATCTCTATGCGGCCAACTGCCAAGTCTGCGGGTTGGAGCCGGACAGAAGGAATCACTTATAGTTCGTTCAGTAAAAGGAGATAAATCAGTGAAGGACACTTCTATGGCTTGGCAAGTTATAATTGCAACAGTAACATAATTTTGGATGGAGAGATTCGCACAGAACCACCACATTAAAGTTTCAAAAGGTTAAAATCTACGGAGGAGTCATATCCTCTACAGGTTCAAGCACAGAATTAGGCGTGAAAGGCGTACATAGGGACACATCCAACTAAGTATCATCCAACCAGTAAATAAAATTCTTTAGTGTCAGTCCCTTTTAAACTATCTGCAGAGACATATCCGCCTGGTCATCCGCTTGCATGCTAAGCTGGATGTGTTGAGAATGCGGCGCAGTTGGGGTGCATCTTTTAGAGTTTGGACGGCCTTCATCGACTAGCATTGTCGGAAATGCACCCAGTAAACTCACCTATTAGGAGACGGCCATTTTTTACCCTGAAGGAGGGCATCATTGGAGGCAGTAGTAAAAATGAAAAGGGGCAAAATTAAGTCAGATAGCCTTTGAAACTGCATCTCAGTCGTCTGCCAGACTTTGCGGCTAGATAGACGCCATGCAGTTAAAAGGAGAACACAAACTTTGTCTTCTGAATGTAAGGCTTCCCATTGGGAAGAACAAAGGTCTTCGGAAAGTTGGCTCTATTCACCGCGTCCGGAAAACCCTGCAATTCCATGCAGAAGCCACTGTGGGGCGGGTAACTGTAGCCATCTTTGCCCACCGGATCAGTTTTTGGCTCCAGACAATTGCCAGTGTAGAACTGGACTCCCGGCTGGTCGCTGAAGACCTCAACCCGCCGACCAGAATTTGGCTCCGAGACTGTCATCTTAGCCTCCTCTTCGGGCATCTGATTAAAAATGTAGTAATCATCAAAACCCTGAAACGGTGCCGGATGGATCTTCCTCAGACCATCTTTCAGGCCAACTGGTTTGCGCAGGTCCGTGCCATCCACTTTGCCCGCCTTCTGAATTCGTCCCGTGGGCATGAGGTCAGGTTCTGTCTCGAGGATCCGGTCCGCAGCGATACAGGCGATGTGTCGGTCCAGGGCCTCCGGTCCCGCGCGATGTCCCGCCAGATTGAAGTAGGTGTGATTGGTCAGATTCAGTGGACAGATGGCGTCTGTAACGCTGGCAAAGTAGTCGATGGAGAGTTCGATTTTCTCCTCAGAGTTGACCGTTATCCGGTAGGTCACATAGACGGTTAGGTTGCCAGGAAAACCGTCTTCGCCATCAGGGGAGAAGATTTTGAATTTAACACTCTCTGGCTTCTGTTCCGCAATCTCCCAGAGCCGATTCGATAGTCCAATCCTAAATTTCAGTGAAAAGAATTAAACTTGATTGCTCTTATAAAACTCGCATTTATGAGACTGGTGTGTTGATAAGTAACTGAAGTCAGCTTTCCTTTGCTAGAAGATATTCTGCATTCTACCCAACATTCCTGCAGACTGTTCCATTGCAGAAAGTGTCTCTTAGGGATATTGTGGGTTAAGATGACGTCAGTGAAACTGGGTGAGAATGACACGAGTGAGTAGTCCTAAAAACGGGTTACCAAAGAAAATGACCGAAGTCTGGGCTGCGACACGAACCGTTTTGCCATCGTAATCCTGGAACGGTGCGGAGCGTCGCAACAGCCTCGTTTATTCAGCGCACACCGGATCGTGAGCTTGCGTTTCAGGAGGAAATATGCATAGATCAATTTAACAAGAAAGAAAACTCCTATGTTTGATTCACCCGAAATGTCGAAAGAGGCCTCGTGTTTTAACTCACCGATGCTGTCCAAGTTGTCGTTATGCGAAGGCCGTTAGGTAGTTTACTCACGAGCTCGTCAAACCGTTTGACAGCGTCTCGAGGGGTTTTGAGATTAACCGTATAACAGTTTTTTTAAGAAGTTGCGTCGTTGTCGTCCTCAAGATTACCCTGAGTCATGTTTGAACTGAACATCTCGCCACGTCCGTAGGAAGAGCCACTTACGGTCGACTTTCCTCCCTATCTAGTGAATTGCCCACCTGCCTATCATAGCCTTATTTTCATCTCTTGCAGAAGGCTGTTTTCGCAAAAAAGGCAACTTAAATCTGACTGCTTGCCGCATAAAATGGGACACGATTTTCGATAACACAACTGTCTGTAGGAAGCGTGACGGCTTCAGTACGAAGACTTTCTAGGGAGGACAATAACACATGGGGAAATCATACCGATTATGAGCGTTTTCAGTGCATGGGGGTTCGAACAACCGACTTATGGCATTCATGCCGCGTGATCTACCTCTTGGAAATCGCACTCACTACTGCCAGTCGTACAAATGGATCGAAAAGTCCCCCCTTACGTCTTGCTTCCGGGACGACTAAACGTTGGAATAGGTTGGCAGACGTGAGCGCGATAGCTGAGTGATAGGGCATCTGACACCGTTTCAAGGAATCGGACTTTCTATCCAGTTCCTCGACAATCGAGTGGTAGGGCATCTGACTCCATTTCGGGGTTCCGGGCTTTCGATCCAGTCCCTCAGCTATCATTGTCAGGGCAAGCGTCTGTCGAAGCACACATTCATGGGTCGGATGTGGTTATGTAGCCCCACCTGAAGTAAATAAATCCCAGTCACCTCTAACGCGGAACCGGTGGTAATAGGGGTTTTTACAGGTGGAGCCGGGGAACACAGGCGACGAGGTCAAGTAGTTGTATGCAAAAGAAAGGCTATTGGGAATGCACGGTTGTACTTGGGATGGCTGAGAAATAGTTGTGGTAACCCCCTAACTCTACCCATAACCCTTGACCATAACCCCTAATCCTAAACCCTAACTCTTAACCCCAATCCCAACAGTATTGTGTCCATCAGGTGGGGCTAACAAACCACACCTTACCCATTCATGTAATTGAGCCGCTTGCCCTTGTTGAAGTATTTTCATGAAAGTCAGTGTGCAAACCAAGCACATGGGGTCTGACTGGGTCACCCATCGTAGGCGTTCGAATCAAATGCTGATCTGCTGTCTGCGAAATTATCAACGAGGTCGATAGCCATCAAGGCGTTCTGTTCAATATTCGCTCCGAAACAGCAGTGCATTCTTTCCTATTTTCTGCGATTAAACTGGCCTTTGCAGGCATGAAGTAATCGATACTCTATCAGAACAATTTTGAAGTCGCATTTCATAGGCTGCATGCAGAGACCATATCGAAAGCTATTCTGTGAGTGGATGTACTATCTCATGAAATGCTAGCGGAGATTTAAAGTATGTTTTCTACTCGAAAAGATTACCTAACTAGGGTTTGTAATATTAGTGACTATACAGCAGAATCTCGACATATCTCAGTATTATCAGGATGCCGGCTTTTGAACGAGCTTCCTTCCGACCGTCTGTAAAAATTGTACACAATAAAAAATCGCTACATAATTAGTATGAACTGTCCCCATTGATCTTCGGTGCCCGCTTAAATTGAGATACATTATATAGAAAACATACACAAAAATATTTTTCCTTGAACTCATTTGTGTCTCCTCCGAATTTTTCACTGTGAAGAGTGTGGCCTCTGGAGACGACCGAATAGATACTCATCTAAAAGCCGGCATCCTGACTGAATATTTTAGAACAATGTTGCATGATAATTAATGTTGCAACCCAACTTCGGCAATCTATTTGAATCGAGAACATATTTCAGAATTGCGGCTAATATTGCATGTAATAGTACACCTAACATACATCTAGATAACCGTCAGGGAAGTTTAAATGACTGGTTTCGAGACGGCAGAAGACAAGTGGATTCTCCATCTTCACAACCCAATCATAAATTGCCCTGGAGTATAATCTGACATTTTTCAAAGTAGAACCGACGCAGACCTTCGGCAGTGCTTTCAAAACTTAGCTATGGTTATTTTTGAAAGGAAGGCGAAACTCAACAGACTCAGAAAGCTTCGGGTGTCAGTCTGACCGCCAGATGTACAGTCGGTACCCGATCTCGTGAAATGACAGCAGTAATTAAGAAGTGCATTTTCGATCAGGATGGATTTCTTAAGTGGGGTTGAAATATTTTCTCTCGTGCAGCATAGTCCCAAGACATCTCAGACACGGCAGGATGTCAGCTTTTGAGCGCGGCATTTCCGGTCGCGTGTAAAAAACGCGCTCGGTAAAAGATGACTTCTTATATAGCACGCATCTCTTCTATTGATTTTCGATGCTCTTGTAAATCCAAATATATTTTATTGCAACTATGTACCAGAATATCCTATTTTGTACCCATTTGGTAGAAAAGCACGTCTTCTTCAAATTCTGTACTCAAAGAGTGTGTCTACTTAGGTCTTAAGAAGTCCATAATTATGGCGTTTTTATGACCGTGCAATGTTCAATCGAATGGCATCGTATCTGTCCGTTTACTAATTCTCCACTAATATGTGGTTATATCGCCACACCTCATGGACACAATACCGTTGACCCACTTAATTATTTTGATTCGGTGTGATTACGTTGACATGGAGTTGCTGTGCGTTTCGGTGTGTGTTCTGTTGGTGGCCTTGTTTATTTGTCGACGTGTTTACCTTTTTCAGTCTAAGGTCAGTGGTCCTTGACTGTTGACCTGTCGCTTCCTTCTGACTGTCGCGTTAGATGTTTCAGGGTTAGGGTTTAGGGCTGCAGTTAAGGATTAAAGGGTTAGGGTGAGAGTTGGGGTTAGAGTTAGGGTTAGGGGCTAGGGCTTAGGGTTTGGGGTTAGGGCTAGGGGGTTAGGAATCGGGGGTTATGGTTAGGGGTCAAGGTTAAGGGTTAGGCTTAGGGTTAGGGGGCTAGGGTTAGGAGATAGCGCAACTATTTCGCAGCCACTCAAAGCACAACCAGGCATTCCCAATAGCTTTTCTTTTGCATAAAATCCCTTGACCTCTTTGACTGCGTTCCCCGGCCCCATCCGTAAAAACCCCTATTACCGCCGGTCCTGTATTACAAATGTCTGGGGTTTGCTTACTTCAGGTGGGGCTACATAACCATATCTGACAAATTCTCCTTATGAAGTATAGACTATAGTCCATATCCATTGAAAAAAGTCATGAACCCTATCTGATTTATTCTTAAAGGCATAAATGGGCTCTATGGTCCTCCTTACATGGTAAAGTTATGGCTTATAGACTTCAAACCCTTAACGCAAGTGCAACGGCTGATCGAGCTCAAAATTATTTTCAATTTAGAAAACTCATCAAAACATAAGTACGCCTTCCTCTGGGCCTGAAATTTGAAGATGTTATTTGCTACTGAATGAGCACAAGAACGAATAATGTTGTGCATATTTTCAGTAAAAGTATTTGGATTTAAAAGGGCATCCAAAGCCAGTAGAAAAATGTACATTACATAAGCGGCCACTTTTTACCAAACGCGGCTTTTGCAGGCGACTGAAAAAGGCGAATTGAAAAGTCCTCATCTTGTTGTGTCTGCGATATCCTGGGTCATTCAATATTGCAACCTCAAAAAAATCGTCCTTTCCAATCGAAAACGCATTTCAGAATATCAATTAGAATTTCATGAGATCGGTCACTGACTGTCTTTTTGGTCCCGAGACACTACTGAAATTATAACCAGAAAACGTTTGATGATGTCAGTAAAGAACTTTTTGTAGTAACCTAGCCGGCAGGTAACCAAACCCGAGACCCACGCGAATAAATTAGTGCGCAGACGATTCCAAAGGTAGCAACAACTCGCTCTCGAAATAATTCGACAGCAAAAAGCTTATTGTCGAAAAATTAAGCTACTTCCCATCATAGTAATTTGATGGGTCAATAAATTATAGGCCGTGTCATTGGTCACACTAATAACATATTAGACACATTTTTTTCAAGGAGTGCAGATGGATAGAGGAGGTTGTTTATCTTGTGTTCTTTGCAAACTTTAATGGGAGCGTTAAGAGCTTCACGAATGTAAACAAAACTACTGGCAACATTTGGCGAAACGCAGCCTATTTTAAAATGACTCAATTAATGTTTTTTCCGAATTTTCGGACAAAATTATTAGGAAATGCAATATAGTACAAATGGTGAAAACACCTATAAGTTGTAGAAATATGGCTGCTAATCTGTCCCGTAATTCGGTAAGAACAAATAAAATAAGTCCCTCACTCTTTACAACATCATAATCAGGGCCCTAAAGTTAAGCTATATATTTGTCTATTGTTCTCTGCTAGCACACGTCCCCGTTCCAAAGTCTGGGCTTCACTGAGATGGGCGGGGCTATGGTCTGGTCTGCAAGATCGCCTTTCTTTTATTTTCACCGCAACTGATTAATAATAATGCAAGCTTTTTTGTAGAACAAATAGCCTGAGTAGCTGCTTGCGTAAATCAACCAGTAGAAACAATTTCGCAGGTAAACCGCTCTCCGTTACTTGTTCCCTGGGCGACTAGTATGAACTGGGCTATCTGTTTAAATTCAAGTAGCCTACCCCACCGTTTGGACTGAAATGGGCGGGAACAAACGCCGGGACAACATTTGCAAATCAAATATGGAAATTACTATCAATTACAGTATACGACTTAAACCACGAAATAGTATGGAATTCATAAAAATATTGCCGATATAAATAGGTTACCCATCCAGCTATCCGAAAAGTTTCATTGAACTAAGGAAACAACCATTCCTCAAAGTGAAGACAGGGTTTGGCTTATAAGTTATTGCGAAGAAGGATATAGTATCGTTGGAACAAGATCTATTAGCCTGACATTTTGGATTCCTACTCGAATGCATCATCAGGGGCCAAGTCAGATACGGGTGGTGGATTCGAGTGGGAATCTAAAACGTCAGGTTAATAAAGCTCTTGTTCCAGCGATCATGTCTCCTTCTTCGCGACTACTTCGTGGAACTCGCCTCTTCGCTTTTATCATAAGTTACAAGTGGTAAGCTCAGAAGTCATTTTTGCTGTAACCCGAAATCTCAGAAAAACAAGTATATCATAAGCCATTTTATAAAGGCTAAATGCAATCGTTCAAAGTGACAGGATAATTTTCCATCGGATTCGAACGTTTATGGAGCTGACACCACATTTCTCTCGAAAGATACACAGACTGGGCTTAAGAATGGATAATTAACACATTGAGATCGCATTTTTCCAGGTCGACAGACAAGAAAATTCAGAAAACCCCGTTGTGGGGCTTATATAGTTCGGTTTGTTTCAGGATGGACGGCCGTGGAAGAGTCGAGGTTCTAATAAACCCGTTGGCACATGTCTTTATCCCAACGGTTGAACCAAACTGAGATGGAGGGAAGCAATGGATTAGTCCGGAAGGTCGTTCATATCTTGATTTTAGCCTAAATGATCAATAATACTGCAAGTTTTTGTAGTACAGATAGCGTCGGTACGTTTCACACACAGGCCAAATTGTTTAAACCATCGCCCGAGCAAACTGCTTCCCGTTATTTGTTTTCCGGGGAACCAGGAAGGACCAGGCTACCAGTTGCAATTCCAGTCGTCGACCCCGCCGTTTGAACGGGAAAAAACGACGTGGTCAAAGCCTGGGATTTAAACAGATGGTCCAGTTCATCCTAGTCACCCGAAAAACAAATAACGGGAGGCGGTTTGCTCGTACAAGTGTTTCCACAGCTTGATTTACGCGAGGAGCCTACTCACGCGACATGTTCTGCAGAGAAGTTGCAGTAGTGTTAGTCAGTTGTGGTAAAAATAAGAGATCGACGATCTCATGGGTTAGATCATAGGCCCCTCCATCAAAATCTAGCTCAGCCCTTGGAGCGACTACGTGCCAGTAAGGTTACTAGATGTATTATGCAATTAAAGTGATAAGTGGACAACCGAAATCTTCGCCCAGTCAAACCGAGTGAAACAGTAACTTTGTTTCTTGAGTTCCCTTGTATTCCAAACCAAGGCTGCACTTTAATATAAAAACCAACAGGTTATCTCTTGGGCCTTATTTAAAGTGGAAGTATAGGCTTTACAATCACTGGTACTCAGTTGGCAAATCGCTATTTCAAAGGTTTGCGCTTAGAATGGAAAGAGGTCGCTAATGCTTGGCCATAATAACGGGGGATATTTTAACCCTAAGAGAATTCTACTCTTCTAATTCCTTCGAACACTGCAGGAATCGAGAAAAATAAAGGATGAAAATGGTAGGCTACGAGGTGAAAAGTGAAAACTAACGTTCCACCATGAAGACAGTGCTGTTTCTTCAGATTCTTCGGCAACCTGTAGACGCCAGTCATGGTGGGGTCCAGTTCGTAGGGGATGGCAAAGCGAGCATTACTGATGCGACCAGCCACGCGTCCAACTATGGCTCCGTGATAGGGTACGTTTTTCTCGTAACTGCCAATGTCCGGATAACCGAGAACCACATCGGCCAACGTGAGGGGCGTCTTCTTCTTTCCGCCCGTGTCCGTATGGCCAGGAATCCACAGCTGCTGGAGGACCGCACCGTAATTGATAAAGACGGCTCTCACTCCGCTCCAGACTTCGCTATCGCCGCCCGAGGTCAATTTTTCTGGGAGTTTCGGTCGAATGGTTATCCTTTTCACTGGAATACCCTTCGCTGTCTTGCCGAAATCTTCCATCATCAGGCGATTGCCGGTAGTTCTGATGTAGAGACCTCAAACCGGCCGCTGCTGACACAATCACCAATCGTAATCGAGTCTTTAAGCAATGCTCTCATTGGCCAGAGGGCGAATAGTCATGATTGGTCGCTGAGCGGCGGCGCTGTAGATACGGCCGCGCTGTCGCACTGGAGACAACTAGTCGAAACGGACCGATAAGTAACGGCATTTGCCTAGCAGTTAGGGCTTTTCTGGACCGGGTTCGTGCTGTAGTATGTTTCGGACTAGGAGCCTGAACGTCCACTAAAATTATTTTTTTTCAAATTCTGACATCGGCTAATATAATGGTAGGGGGCGCTCACCGATCATTCATACGGAACTCACTCGTTCCGTTGTGCCTTAACGGCTCTCTCTCGAGCCCAACCAGCAGCCGCACAGCGGCGCATGATACATCGGCACAATGGCATTACCGACAAAGACAAGGGAGACTGGAATGGCCATTTCTGGCTTATTAGCCGTCGTATGGACGATCGGTGAGCGCCCCCTACCATTGTATATTCACGATCGAAAACCGACAGGGCAACGGGCTCGTGGCCCGGTGGATAGAGGCGTGGACTTCTAAACCAACAGGTCGCGAGTTCGAGGCTCGGGTGTTCCACACTTCGGGCTTGGGTATGGCTGGCTGACGACGGCTAACAAGCCAGAAATGGCCATTCCAGTCTCCCTTGTCTTTGTCGGTAATGCCATTCTGCCTATCGGCTAATATGCATTATATCTTGGGGCACCTGCTTCCGGAATAAAAATGAACATGGTCATGGTTCTGAAGGAGAGAACAGGTAAGGCCAACACCAAGTACTGTGAACCCCCATTTAACAGTCAAAAGCTTCAGTTCATTCACTGAACTCTGAGAGGGATATATTAAAGCAGTTTAGACCGGCCACGCGTGATTCGGGGTAAGAGCCGTGTGCGGGTGTGGCTAGAGATAGGCGAGAGTAGGTGAGCTAGCAAAGGTTCGATACGGAGTTAATAATGTGATTCCATCCCTTCCATTGTTCGGACTTTTCTCGTCTCCTTGCCACTACCTCTGAATTGCGAGGGTCAATTTTTAATAACTCAACGGACAGGACAAAGGCCTTGTCTCAAGAATAATTGTCCCCCTTTCGTTGGCTGATCTCCTTTGAACATATGGTGCCACTCTGTATTACTGAAGATGTCTGCGCTTGGGCTAGTACGCTGTGTATTATGAGAGCGAAACAAACTTTTTCAAGAATTTGTCGGACAAGAAGCAGATAAGTAGACCACCCCTGCCGACTGTTTTTAGCATTTATTTCGCCGCCCTGTGCTCTGAAAGCGTTACTTTCAAGCATTTCCAGCCAACTATAGTTTAAGTTTTGCTAATCCAAGCCAGTCTCAATAGAGAGGGCCTGCTTGTAGGGGCGGATGCCGATTGGTTGCTCGGAACCGTAGTGTTCTTCCAAACTTGCAAGAGCTAAAAGGTGACTGGGCAGACATTTTCTGGCCAGAGCGCCGGAAGGAGTCAGCGATTAGCTTGTACCAGAGGCGTGTTCAGGGCGTGCTACTGATCGACACATATATGATCGGCAATAGGGCAATTGGCTCACGATCAGAGTTGATGACACCTTCGGACGCGGGAGTTTGCACGGTCTGGCCAGCGAGTACGATATCATACGTGAACTCCGGCAGCAGTTATTCGCGCTACATTTAAGTTGAGGCAGAACGCCATGCTTATATCAGTCCTGATGACAAAACACTGAAGCCCTCCTCCGATTTCAGAGGTTAAACCCCAAGTTCAGGGACAGACTTGCCTAATCAGTTCCAACTTGGCGTCTTCTGGACGATGGAAACCCCGGGGAAATGAGGTCTGTCTGCTGGCACAACTACGAGCTAGGCTACCAGTCAACTGGTAGCAAATAATGAAAGCACCTTCAAAGAACGCTGGTTGTCGGGTCTGGCCAGGTAACAGCTTCCGATTATGCCCTGGCAGTACCTTCCACCATATCTGGCAAGGAACCAGGCAAACAGATTGCCGAATAAAGACCACAAGCCGCGTCAGAATAACGAAGTGGCTAGGGTTGTACGACGTCTAATAAGACTTAACTAACCACCCTCCGGTAAAACTATGGGACCTTAATGTTGTTTTTCTAGAGGAGTCGGTGATGAGGTCCCCCTTCGAATGCAGGAAATACAGGAAATTAGCTGCCGACAGGAGCGAAGAGGCGAGTCCCAGAAAGCAGTCGTGAAGGAGGAGACACGATCGCTGGCAGGAGAGCTTTATTCTCCCGACGCTTTGGTTTCCTGCTCGGGCTTATCATCAGAGGCAATAGCAGATACGAGTAGTTCATGCACAACGGCCGTATAATTAATAGGATGCAGTTGCTACGCTACCGCATACTCATGAAAATTCATGGCTCCCCCTTAATCAGGGATTGTTGCACATGATGTGTTGACTGTTTGATGGCCGAAATGCGAGCCGCAAATGGCCGAGCACGCGGCAACAGTGCAGGGAAATGGCGCCAGCTCTCAATTTGCGGCCCATTTGACAAGATCCGGCCACACATTCAAATTCAGCGAGGCCGAATTTCTAGCTGGACGTGACCGTCGCGTGAGCCGCGAGCTGTTTGAGTAATTAACAAGCGCAATGACCTTTCCCGTCCATATTCGGTGCTGAGTCTTCGCCTAGGCGGAATGATTCGCCCCGCGAGCAGCGCACGGGCGAATAGTTTTCCCAACGCCACGGCTCGGTGAGCCAAATGATCGAGTAATCATCACACCAACGTCCAACACCCGCGATGAAATGGCAACGATTAACAACTCGAACAGTCGTTACGCCAAGTGCAACAATCGCTGATGAAGGGGTAAGCAGGGGCTTCTTATAGGTATGTGGTGGTATAGCGACCGCATCTTTAAAAAATTTCAGCAGCTTGCGCATGACCTGCTCGTGCCCGCTATTGTCTCTGATGATACGTACGAGCAGGAACCCGAAACGCCAGGAAATTAGTTCTTCCTCTAACTGCCCTGTGCAGTCGCTGTCTAGCAAATTAAGTCTCAGTCGGATGCTTACGGGACGATGTGGCTATTGGCATCGTACTCTAATTGAGGCTGAAGAGTGTTAATAGGGGACAATGCCCAACCAGATGGCAAAGGGAGAAATGGCTGGGTGTCCTGGACAGGGGGATCTCCTGGATGTTTCCGGCATTTCACCTCATTAAAACTCACCACAATCTATGAAGAATGCGCGCACAGATCTATTGGCATCACGAAGCAAACAAGCTCCGTATGGATGGAAAAGGTCACGAACAGGCAACCAATTACCAGGCCGAAGTCGGCCAAGTCATAATAGCAGCCAGGAGGGACGACAGACAATGCGGGTAGATTGATACAGTACTGTTTCGGGCTTATTGTGCCTTCATTCAGCCTATCATAACCCTGACCATCAGCTGGGACCAGCAAGACAAACATGCAAACAGACGCACCTGGCATAGTTGATCCACAACTGGTGTCTACCAGATGATGAAGTAGGCAAGAAGGGCAGGATTTATTGGTACCAAAAAATTCCGCGACGGCTCGTCAGCTGCGCCCGGTCGCTTCATAAGAGAGATAATGAGTGAGAAGAATACAAAAGATTTCAATTCGTGCAGAAAATCAATGCAGAAACAGCAAGGTCGGGGTTTTGGGTAAAGCTGGCTAATCGATAAAGTTAGTAAATCAAACACCGTAGGGCAAGAAAGTGAAAAAGGGGAACGTTGAAGATCAAAAATGAGAGGAGAAAGGGGAAATCATGGAGCTAGAGGCTACCATGGCAATGTTAGGTTAACCACGTGTTCCAATTGTTTACAAAGATCTGGTTTCACTCGTCGTATATAGGCCGCCTCCAGGTAATGCAATGTCCGAGTTGTTCGTGCCCGAACAAGTACTCGGAAGGACGTTTTGGGGTCGACGGAGTGACCACTATCAAGCAGGTGTTTCGTAATGGAGGAACGAATAGGCGAATAGTTTTTCCAATCCCAAGGCTCGGTGAGCCAAATGGTCGAGTAATAATCACACCAAAATCCAACGCCCACAATGAAATCACAACAATTAACAACTTGAACATCGAACAGTCGTCACACAAAGTGCAACAATCCCTGATGAGGGGGGAAGCAGGGGCTTCTTATAGGTATGCGGTGGCATGACGACTGCATCCTTCAAATACTTCAGCCGCTTACGCACGACCTGCTCGTGTCCGCTATTGTCTCTGATGATAAGTTCGAGCAGGAACCCGAAACGCCAGGAAATTAACTCTTTATCAAACCTCCTTCTGCAGTCGCTGTCTAGCAGTCGGATTCTTAAAGGACGGTGTGGCTATTTGCATCGCACTCTAACTGAGGCTGGAGAGTGTTAATAGGGAACAATGTCCAACCAGATGGCAAAAGCAAAAATGGCTGGGTGTCCTGAACAGAGGAATCTCCTGGATGTTTCCAGCATTTTCACCTGATTTAAACCCACCACAATCTGTCGACCACTATCGCGTCCGCAGTGCCTAGACCGACCAGGCGACCCTACCCTCTCCTGATCACAACCACTCTCCATTCATGGGCTTGTTTAAACGTGAGCATGCAGATTTTGAATAAGAATCGTGGTAAACTCGAGCAATTTACGTGTATTTAAGTACTATTCCAAAGTGTGTAGACCTTAGCAGTAATTCTAACGCGATTTAAGGTTTCAGGGTTTGGGAGCTTGAGAATGCGTCGACAGTTTCCAGTTACCCTTAGCATGCGACCCACGTCATGAAAAGGAGGGTAACCCTCGCGCATCGGTCTCTTTGTGTTCATTTGCAAGTAACTGGGGTCGGATGTGGTTGTGTGGCCGCACCTGGGGTAAACAAATCTCAGCCATCTGTAATACGGGACCGGTGGTAATAGGGGTTTTTACAGGTGGAGCCGGGAAGAGCACAGACGACGAGGTTAAGTTGGTGTATGCAAAAGAAAAGCTATCGGGAAAGCGTGGTTGTGTTTTGAGTTGGT